ATCATTCATTAATTTCATTGCTGTGTAGTAAAATGATTGCAATACTAATACTCGACAGTAGTTTTAAGAAATAAGATGATGTATGTAGAATTGTCTTAAAAACTCATCAACATGGTATAAACTTATTGTAGATAAGTGTTGTTTGGTGCTGTGGAGTCAGTTCTGATTAATACCAACCTTGAGTACAACAGAACAAACATTGCCTAGTTCTGTGCCTTCCTAGCATTACACAAATTCAATAGTCTAGAAGTTTAAAATGTGGTGGGGTGTGCTTGCGTGTGGTGTTAAGTACCATTTCGATTCATAACAATGCCGTGTAGGGTTTCCGAGGCTGTAAATCTTTGTGGGAGCAGTTAAGCCTCATTTATCTTCCACGTAGCAGCTGTTGGTTCCAGACTGCTGACTAGTGCTTATCTTGAAGAACCCTTAGGAGTTTAAGGTGAAGACAGTGAAATATACGAGAGGGTTTCAATAAGTCTGTGGAAAAGTACCATTTTCTTTCCATTCCATTTTGTCCACAAACTTTCTGTCGCTCCCTGCATGGTGTGAGAGCATTTATCTATGTTTTAGCCAGAGACCTGAACCTCCACAGTGCCAGTCCAAACACTGGATGAAGAGGCAGGGCACACTCCCAGTAAACGTTCAGTTCTGTCTTGATTAGAAGTGTCACATGACATTGTTTTATTATTCTCTCTATTTACGCTGCATGCCTAGATTTTAAAACAATTAAATGACATGTGCTAATTAAAAGCACTTTTGAACAGAGTCTTTCTTTCATGGTACTAATAATCATCAATTAATGCTTCAATTTTGTGGGTGTATATTTTTGTTAAGATGAATTAATTGCTTGAGATGATGCTTGCACAGTTTTTAAAATGAATTCTTGAATCGGTGTTTGTGCACTTGCCAACTTGGCATGCCCACAGGCTGAGTTAACCAACACCAGCCTTTTCTTCTGTCTCGTGGAACTGGGAGAATTGGGGGAATTGGGGGCACTCACTGTGCTTCAGGTGTATAGATTGATCGGATTGTGTTGGTGCTCAGTAAATTTATGGACTCAATTTTGGAGTTGTGTCACATTTTATCAGAGTCTGTGATCATCATTAAATTAATTGACTATGTTTTCATTTTCTGTTGTAGTTGAAGACCAATGTTTCCCTGTGGAAGGAGCTGCAGTCAACGAAAGTTATCGTTATGGGAGAAGCTGCTATTGTGGAGATAGATACCTTTCCCCGAGGAGTAATTTTAATATACTTAGTTATAGCATTTTCACCTTTTGGATACTTTTTGGCAATTCACATTGTAGCCGAAAAAGAGAAAAAGTTAAAAGAATTTTTAAAGATAATGGGACTTCATGATACTGCCTTTTGGTATGTAATTAGAAATTTATTATTTAATGTAACTAACAACTGTATTAAATGTCAGCTACATCTTCAGAATTGCAAATTTGTTATTTACCTGACTTAATGTAGTCCTGGTCTGGTGCTGTAGGATAAGCACTGGACTGGTCGGCAGTTCAAACCCAATCAGCCGCTCCTTGGAAACCCTATGCAGGTTGCTATGAGTTGGAACTGATTCAACAACACTTTACAACAGTAACAACATGTAGTGCGGATCCTTTTTTTTTTTTTTTTTACAGTTACTGACTTTGTCTTGGAATTTAAAACTAGTCGCCAAGTTTCTGTAAATAATTGACCTATTTTTAACATACAGTAAAAAACTGTTGCCATGTAGATGACTCCGACCCGTGACAACCCGTCATGTGTCACAATACAACTATGCTTTCTGGAATTGTCAGTGGCTGATATTATGGGAAATAGATAAAAGGTCTTTTTTCCAAGGTACTTCTGTGCGGACTTGAACCGCTAACCTTTCAGTTAGCAGTCGGGTGCAGTAACCATTTGCAGCCATATAGTTTGTTTTTCAGAATTTTATTGTAATTGTTTTAACACTTTACATAATGAGGTCCCTGTATGTAGCTTATTTTCTTGTTATTTTAGAAGTGATTAGATTTTGAGATGCATTGTGTTATTATTTTGTGGTTAAGTTAGCTGGATGATTTTAGACAAATCAATCTCATAGTGCCTCAGCTTTGCCCCTATAAAATAATGGATTCAACTTTGTCAATTTAGGGTCACCCCTAGTTCAGTGATTTTTAAGATAGTGGTGTTGTGGTGTGCTGTGGAGTCGGTTCTGACTCATAGTGACCCTGCATAGGGTTTCCCAGGCTGTAAATTTTTATAGGAACAGAAAGCCTCATCTTTCTTCTGCAGAGCAGCTGGTAGTTTCAAACTGCTGACCTTGAGGTTAGCAGCTTGACTTGTAACCACTATATTACCAGAGCTCCATTTAACATGGTATTGTCCCCAAAATCACGATCTGCTAACCCAGAAGAAAAAAATGAAATGAAACTAAATGCAAGTTTCCACTTCTCCATCCGAAATAGGGTATTCCTTTGAAACCCTTGGTAAGCCCAAGTCGTATAGAGTGAACAAGTGATCACCATTAATTTCTCTGGGGAAAATATTTGAGCATTCCCAGACTCCAAACCAAATGCATTATCATTAAGTGGGCCCTGTAAGACAGAGTACAACTACTCCGTAGATTTTCTGAGACTGTAAGTCTACAGGGTCAAACAGCTTCATCTTTTTCCCATGAAGTGGCTGATGGTCTTGAACTACCTTCCTTGCAGTTAGCCCAACACTGAACCTACTGCACCACCAGACCTACAAATAACCTACCAAATCACACACATCATTTTTAATTAACTGGCCCACTGCCATCAAGGCAATTCTGACTCACAGTGACCCTACAGGACAGAATAGAACTGCTTCATGCCATCTTGTTGTTAAGTGCCTATGAGTCGGTTCCAACAGCTGGTAGATTTGAGCCTCCACCTTGCAGTTCAAATCGACCTTGTATTCTGGTCACTTATCCTACAAAGTAACACCAGGACTCCTCATGTAATTTATGAGGCTGTAAATCATAATGGAAGCAGACAGCATCTTCTTGCTTCAGTGGAGTGGCTGGTGGGTTTGAACTGCTGACCTTTAGGTTCGCAGTCCAACACTTTAACCAGTGCACTACCAGGGCTGCTTAAATAACACGTAAACAACAGTTCAAAGCTCTTGCTGCTTATGCTGGGATGCTGAGTGTAGTTCCAGGGGAAGGAGCTTGGCGGTGCCACTCTTTCTGCTCAGGGGCCTGCTGTCTTCAGTGGCTTTTGCTGTCCACCAAGTTCTGAGTGGTGTCTTTTAGCCTTTTTTTTTAAATAAAAGCAAAAGTCCTCTGCAGATTTCTTTCAGTTAGTGAAAACAAGCACTACTATTGTTGTTGTTAAGTGCCGTCGAGTCAGTTCTGACTCACAGCAACCCTATATAGGGATTCCAAGGAGCGGCTGGTGAGCTTGAACCACCGACCTTGCAGTTCAAAATTTGCAGTCCAGTGCATTAACCCACAGTGCCACACCAGGGCTCTTATAGGTCTTTCATAAAAGTGAACTCTTGGTGTAAAGTTGAACCGTCGCAATGTGGAGGGTACCTGGACTATGGTAACTCCATTAAGCTCTGACTTGAAGAGTAACTGGTGTCAATTCTGGCTCATTTATTATTGCTCTTCATCTCTCATGGTGTAAAGTTCGTAATTCTGATGTTGAGTAACGAGGTAGCCTTTATTATTTGGAGAAACAAAAGCCTTGAAAGATTTCATTATAGCTCATGTTCTAAAGAAAATTATTATATCGACTTCTTAAGTTCTTTTGTACTTAAATAAAATTAGAGGTGTTGTGCACTATGGAACTTTAGAAAATGTTGTTGAAGCATATTGTTGTTGTTGTTTATATGTGGCAGAGTCAGTTTAGGCTCGTAGTGGCCCTGCATAGGGTTTCCATGGAGTGGCTGCCGATCTTACGGCTAGCATTCCAGTGCTTATCCTTTAGTGCCACACCAGGACTGCAAACTGCTATTAATCTTTAAGATTTTCTTTGACCTTTTGAGAGAGAATCAGCATTTTATTATTGTATTAGATTACACTTTCACCTGTAACTTAACCAGTACTGTACTTCTATTATGAAGAATATTAATTTTTAGTACATAAACACATACAGGAGCCCTGTGGTGCTGTAGGATAAGCTCTGGACTGCTAATTGCAAGATCGGCAGTTCAAATCCACCAGCCACTCCACAGGAGAAAGGAAGCTTTCTGCTCCCATAAAGATGTATAGCTTTTGTTGTTGTTGTTGTTAGGTGCCATCGAGTTGGTACCAATTCATAGCAACCCTATGCACAACAGAGTGAAACACTGCCCGATCCTGGGTCAACCTCACAATTGTTGCCACAATTGAGCCCATTGATACTGCTACTTTGCCAGTCCATCTCGTTGGGGATCTTCCTCTTTTTCTCTGACCCTCCACCTCACCAAACATGACATTCTTCTCCAGAGACTGGTCCCTTTTGATAATATGTCCGAAGTATGAGAGACGAAGTTTGGCCATTCTGGTCTCCAAGGAGCACTCTGGCTGCACTTCTTCCAGCACAGATCTGTTTGTTCTTTTGGCAGCCCATGGCACTTTCAATATTCTCCTCCAGCACCATAACTCAAGAGCATCAATTTTTCTACGGTCTTCCTTATTCACTGTCGAGCTTTCGCATGCATATGAGGTTATTGAAAATACCATGACTTGGATCAGGCGCACCTTAGTCTTCAAGCTGACATCTTGGCTCTGTACAGCCTTGGAAACCCTATATACATGGTCACTATGACTCAGCATTGACTTTATTGTGCTTGGTTGTTTGTTTGGGGTTTTAAACGTATACAGATAAATAATGGACTTATGGGAAAATAAAATGGCAAGAATAAAGCTGAAGTAGTTTTTTCAGATGTTTTTAACTGGACGCTTGTGCCTTTGGACCATGACGTCCTTGTCCCTCTTCCCCTCTTAGGCTTTCCTGGGTCCTTCTGTATACGAGTCTGATTTTCCTCATGTCCCTCCTCATGGCAGTCATCGCAACGGCCTCCTCATTATTCCCGCAAAGTAGCTGCTTCGTGATCTTTCTACTCTTTTTCCTGTATGGGCTATCATCTGTAAGTATTGCGGTTTGGAATAGGAATAAAGAACTGTGAAAAGACTGATTCACATAGAAACCATGGTTAGTTGTTACAGTTTATCTCCCCTAAAAGGTTGGTTGTTCCTAAGGGATTGATAAATGTTGAGCATCACCGTAACTCATTTTTTAGGAAAAAGTACAAACATGGTCTCAGGTTAAAAGCTGAACTTAATTATAGGATGCAGTTCACCCCCATATTCCTAAGAATCTTTTACTATCTACATATAATCATGTGTATAATTAAGATTGTCGTGTGTGAACATTTTCCCGCTGCTTTCATGTAATTCTGAGTGTGTCAGTATAATTTATGCTAAAAGATAATGATGTTTAAGGATGTATCTTCTAATGGAGACAGAGATGATGACGTGGACAGATGGAGTGCTTGGGGACTCTGGACTCAGGGAGGGAGAGGGGCTGTGTGCTGACGGCCAGGGGGCAGGCCTGTGGGAGTGTACTCTTTGGTTGTCTGATGATGCATGGAGGGAATTGTAATCATTTCAGTGAATTAAAATACGATAGGATGAATGTAAAGCTGGTGTTCTCCCATGTAAACTCACATAATTCACAATAAAAACTTAAAAAAAAAAATAAAAAAGATATGTCTTCTTAGGTATAACTCTCTAGTAGTATTGCCACTCATCTAGTGTATTGATTAAATACAGACTGTTAGCGAGCAGCCTTGGTTTTCAGTGGTTCCACTGATATTCTGGAGTCCTGGTCTGGTGCTGTGGGTTAATGTTCCTGACTGCAAAGCTGTTTGAACTGCAAGGTTGGTGGTTCAAGCTCACCAGCCACTCCTCGAAAACCCTATACCGGGTTGCTATGGGTCAGAACTGACTCCACGGCGCTTAACAATAACAAGTTGTAAATGAGCTAAAACTTTCCAGAGTCCTGAATGAGAACCAATGAGTTATTGGTGCTTATTCGTCTAAAAATCCATTAACGCGTGAGTAGTGTATATAGAAACATATAAATAACATACAAGTAACAGGAGTCCTGGTGTGGTGCCATAGGATAAGCACTCGATCTCAAGGTTGGTTTAAATGACAAGGCAAGGTAGGCAGTTCAAACTCACCAGCTATTGCCTCGGAAACCCTATCCAGGGTCGCTATGGCTTGGAACTGACTCAGCGGCACTTAACAACAGCAGTTATATTCTGATTGGGTTATTACATGCGCGTGCTGTACCAGGTGTTACATATTTTTTAAATGGTAAATTAAAAATAATTCATATACTTGTAGGTGTGATTACCTGGTTTTTAACTGCTTATGGATCTTACCAGCACAGTAAGATGAAAAGATGAGTTCTGAACTTTTGTAAACTTGTTGACTTACAGTTTTGTTCACCTATGTCTGTATCTAACCTCAAAATGCGCTCTTGATAGTTTCTGTAAGTGTAGAATTGACCATATTTGCCTACTATCTAGATAAAATGCCATTTTTGTATTTGTCACATTAATTGCTTTCTTATCTGTGTCACTATTTAAGTGAGAAAAACCATTTTATTTGGGAATCGTTTTTTAAATGTATTTTCCAAAGGAAAGAGCTTGTTCTCACAAGTAAAATTTAATTTTTATTTTCACACTAAGATATACGAACAATGCATTAATCTTAGCTTTTATATCTTACAGGTTTTCTTTGCATTAATGCTGACGCCTCTGTTTAAAAAATCAAAACACGTGGGAATAGTTGAATTTTTAGTCACGGTGGCTTTCGGATTTGTTGGCCTTTTGATAGTCCTTATGGACAATTTCCCCAAATCCTTAGTGTGGCTTTTCTGCCCCTTCTGTCAGTGTACTTTTTTGATTGGCATTGCACAGGTAGGTGACAGCTATTTACCTTGCATTTCCTAAGTATTTTCTTTGCTCTCGTTCCATGTAGCCAGGTGACATTGGGTCAGTTCTGATTGACAGTGACAGTGAAACTGCCCTGTAGGATTCTCTTGGCTGTGATTTTTATGGAAGCAGATTGTTGGTGTTTTTTGTTTGTATGTTTGTTTTTCATCCCCGCATACTCTCTTGGACTCCTGGTATGGCGTTGTAGGAGAAGTACTGGACTTCAAACCACAAGGTTGGTGGTTCAAACCCACTGTTCCTCAGAAATCCTGTAAAGGGTTGCTATCAGTCAGCATCAACTTGATGGCACTTAATAACAACTCTCTTCGTGGGTTCAGACGGCCAACCATTTGGTTCGAAATCAAGCATTTAACTATTGCACTACCAATTTTCATGTATGTAGCATCATGTTGTTGTTGTTGTTATGTGCCGTGGAGTCAGTTCCGACTCATAGCGACCCTGTACAGGGTTTCTGAGGCTGTAAGTCTTTACGGGAGCAGAAAACCTCATCTTTCTCCCATGGAACAGCTGGTAGCTTCGAACTGCTGACCTTGAGGTTCGCAACCCGATTCGTAACCACTACACTACCAGAGCTCCTTATGTAGCATCATACATACCTTTAATTTTTAAAAACAGTTTTGAAATTTCAGCTTGAGAAAGGAATGATGTTTGAATATCATTCCACATTCTATTTCTGCCTTCATTTATATTTTCTTCCTTTTTAAGTTATTCATTGGAAAACTCTTCATTTATAACTACCCGTTGTAATATTGGAAAAGTGTTGACCATAATGCTATTCTCTAATACAAAACTTGGAGACCTGGTGTGGCGCTGTTGGAAAAGCACTGAACTGCTAATCACAAGGTTGGTGGTTCAAACCCACCAGCCACACCTCGAAAGTTCTTTATAGGATCTCTTTGAGTTGGAACCAACTTGATGACATTGAACAACAACAGCAATACTAAACTCGATCGAGATCTTCATGAGTCGTATCATTTACATTGCTCGAGTTCCTGCTAACACCATAGTGTTTCATTTTGCAGTCAAGGTGGGAGAGGTAAAGGCATTACAACTGGAGGGATCTTAGTCTAAGAAGCACAGCATTTAAAACATGATTGAAAGGCATTGTTACGTCAGAGCTGAATTTTAGTAAAGCATCTATTGTTTCCTTTAGAAATTCCAGTTACTAATTTAGAAGATTGTTAACAAATACTTCTGGTGTTTCTATTTTTTTTAGGTCATGCATTTAGAAGACTTTAATGAAGGTGCTTTGTTTTCTAACGTGGCAGAAGGCCCGTATCCTCTCATTGTTACCCTGATCATGCTAGCACTTAATAGTACATTTTACGTCCTCATGGCTGTCTATCTTGATCAAGTCATTCCAGGTATGCAGGTGATTGCTGGGCTTTGTTGTCTAACTGTCTGGCTTCGTTTTAGCCCATGTAGGGTCAACTTGTTTAGTTTTTCCTAACCAGAGTACTCAAAGTCACATTCATTGTTAAAGCTTTTCGGTCACTTTCAGCATAGTGGACTGAGTTGGGCTACTAACCGCAAGGTCAGTAGTTTGAATCTGCCAGACACTCTGCGTGAAAAGGATGAGACTTTCTGCTCCCCTAGAGATGTACACCCTCGGAAACCCTGTACAGGGTCGCTATGGGTCGGAACCGACTCGATGGCACTTAACAACAACAACAAGAGATGTACAGTTCAGGTGTGGTGCTGTGGGTTAACGCGCCAGACTGCAAAGCCGTGTGAACTGCAAGGTCGGCGATTCAAGCTCACCACCAGCTGCTCCTCGGAATCCCTATACAGGGAACTGACTAGATGGCACTTAACAACAATAAAGATGTACAGGGTCACTGTGAATTAGAACCGAGTTGGTGGCACACAACCACCACCACCATCTCTTTTACCTTGCGCCGTAGCCACTTCTGAACAGAAAATTGTGTAAAATGAGAAGAGTTTGTTTTGAAACCCTTCAGTTCCACACTCAACTTCTTAACCCAGCCCTTCCCTGTGTCAGCCTTTCTTGACTGAAGTATTTCGTTTTTATGCCCACTAAGGAGTCCTGGTGTGGTGCTGTGGGTTAGTGCACTGGACTGCAAGGTTGATTTGAACTGAAAAGTTGATGGTTCAAACTCACCAGCTGCTCCTCAGAAACCCTATACAGGGGGTTGCTATGAGTCTGAACTGACTTGATAGCATACAGCAACAAGGTCCACAACAATGAAGTAAGCTTGTGACTCTGATCATTCTTTTCATCTTCTCTTATGCATCTCTAATCCTTTAGCCAAAAAAGAACAAACCTCCCACACAGCTGTGCATCTGTTTAGATTCATAGTGAGCATGTCGGGCGGGCAGAGTAGAATTGCCCCGTGGGGCTTCCAAGGCCCTAAAGCTTTACTGAAGCCGACTACCACAGTTTTCTCCCATGGAGTGACAGTGGGCTGGAAACAGAAGGCTGCGAGTTAGGGATTGAGTGTTGTAACCTCTACGTCACCGACTCCTAGAGATGCAGTGAGACTAGCAAATATCCAACAACCTTTTCTTTTTCTCCTTGAGTTCTTCGTTACTCCTGTGTACATTCTAGACTTACACTGTCTTATTTGGTAACCACTATGTAGAGTCCTGGCGTGGTGTTGTAGGATGAGCGCTGGACTGCTCACCTCAAGGCCAGTGATTCAAAGTCAACCAGTCGCTCCTCAGATACCCTGTAAAGTGTTACTATGAGTCAGAACCAACTTGATGCCACTTAACAACGACAACAGCCACATGTGGTTTTTAAATTGAAATTAACATAAACTTAGACCAGTTTATTTCCTTCATGGTGGTGGTGGTGTGCCGTGGAGTCGGTTCTAACTCTTAAACAACCCTGATAGGGTTTCCAAGGCTGTAAAGCTTTACAGGAGCAGAAAGCCTCATCTTTCTCCCATGGAACCACTGGTAGTTTCGAACTGCTGACCGTGAGGTTAGCAGCCTGTCTCGTAACCACTACACTACCAGAGCTCCTTTTCCTCAGTAGTAGGAGCCACATTTCAGTTGCTCAGTAGCCACATATATGACTGACTGTACAGTATAGGTCAAGAACATTACCATCATCACAAAAGTTCTGTTGTTGTTGTGAAGTGCCATCAAGTCGGTTCTGACCCACAGTGACCCTGTATAGGGGTTCCAAGGAGCAGCTGGTGAGCTTGAACCACCATCCTTGAAGTTTAAATGGCAGATGGAGGTCTATTGGCTACTGCTACCTAGTTTCCTACCTGTAGTCTGTCAAAGACATTATACCTCTCTCCTATCAAGTCACTCACCAGCTCCCAACCCTGGCCTAGCACATCCTCATGATTAGGGAGAGACTTTGTGTCTGTAGGACATTTCTACATGTCATCTGTCACTGCCAGCCTTCCCTCCTAACTGTACATTCAGATCCATCCATGCAGCCCTATTTACTTACTCAATCCCATCCCAACAGTTCAGACTGGAGCCAGCTATTCCCATTGGCTCAAGCAGGCAGGATTTAAAAGGAAGGCCAGAGCTAGAGTGGGCCCCAGGTTGAGCTGATTTAACTCAGTGATGTCGTCAGCAACACATTGTTTTCTGTGCTTTGCCACCTTTGTCTCAGAGTCTGGCGGGTTTGCTTTCCTCGTGATTGCATGCAGTGACAGTTTTTTTTGGTTTTGTTTGTGTGTTTGTGCTTAATGAGAAAGGGGGAGGGAAACTTTCCCCTAACTAAGCCCCGTGGTTCCCTCTGATTGGTTAAATGCTTAATGCCAGAGCAGTGACATTCACTAGCAAAGGCCAAGTACTGGTGGGCTTCAGATTAATTTGTGTCTTTTCTGTAGTTGGGATCAGAGCCTTATGTGCTTGTAGGCCATTTTTAAATGGAGGGTATAGATTTTGGGGGGAGGGAGAAGGTGGACAGCTGCTACGTTAGCACCAGTTACTGTCTATCATATGTAAATCTCCTTTTCTCCAGTAGCTGTTGCTGCAATCTTGATTCTGAATGGTCTGCCCCCAAAACTATCTATGTCCACTTTCTAAATGCTATCTACTCGGATTTTCATGAACTGTCTACAGTGGTTCCCAATCAAGCCTTCAGAATACATCCCCTAGCCAGATACAAACTTTCCATGTTTTGAACTCTTGTTAGAATCATTCATAGCAATGCCATTGTGTTAAAGCCATATTTGTAGTTCCTGAAGAACAGAGCGTGTGCTTTTCTGACGTTTGGATTCCCATGAACTTTGAGTAACTCTGCAGCTCTCCATGGACTGCAATTATTGGTCAATAAAACTTAGATTATCACATAAATTGATTTAGTACTTTATCTGTATCTTTATGTTAAATTTAGATGGTCCTGACTCGACGGCACTTAACAACAACAACAAATGCTTCAAGTACTGCTTTTACCTATGATTTCAAAATGAATTTTCAGGAATGAAAATTTCTGTTTGTTTTTTTTTCATTTCTAGGTGAATTTGGCTTACGGAGATCATCTTTCTATTTTCTGAAACCCTCATATTGGTCAAAGAACAAAAGAAATTATAAGGAATTATCAGAAGGCAATGTGAATGGGAGTATTACTTTTAGTGAAATTGTTGAGCCTGTTTCTTCAGAATTTCTAGGGAAAGAAGCCATCAGGTATGATGGAGTATGACAAGTGAACTAGAAAAACTGCCAATGGAATCTGACGCATTTAAATTCTGTCTTTTAATTGATGTATATAAATATACTTGAGATTGCGTAGACAGGTCATGTGATTTCTAAAATACAGTATTGATTGGGGTTTAAAAATTTTTATTTTGTTTGAAATCACTCAGAATTAAGGTTAGTGCTAGAATTGAAATTATGTTTCAGTGGATATTTTTAAAAGGAATAAAACCAATGCTTATGGAATTAGGCTGTTTAAAGTATTTATTCATTATGTAGATTGGTAATGATTAAATATGGACTTCAGTTCTATTCGTGCATACTTTGTTTGAGCATATTAAATGAGTCATCGTTAATTTTATAGAACCTTGTTGTTGTTAAGTACTATTGTGCCAGTACCAATTCATAGTGATCATATATAGGGATGGCTGTAGAACCTTGTTGTTGTTGTTAGGTGCCGTCTAGTAAGTTCTGACTCATAGCAACCCTCTGCACAACACAATGAAACACTGCCCGATCCTTAACCATCGTCCTTACAATTGTTACATTTGAGCGCATTGTTGCTGCCACTGGGCAAATCCATCTCTTTGGGAGATCTTCTTCTTTATCGCAGATCTTCCACTTTATCAAGCTTGATGTCCTTCTCCAGGGACTGGTCCCTCCTGATAATATGTCCAGAGTATGAGAGACAAAATCTCACCATCTGTCTTCTAAGGAGCCTTGTAACTGTGCTTCTTCTAACACACATTTGTTTGCTACTCTAGTATTCCATGGTACTATTAATATTTCTCCCCAACACCATAACTCAAATGCATCAACTCTTCTATGGTCTTCCTTATTCACTGTCCAATTTTCACATGTCTATGAGGCTTTTGAAAATGCCATGGCTTGGGTCAGATGCTCCTTAGTCCTCAAACTGACATCTTTGCTCTTGAACACTTTGAAGAGGTCTTGTGCAGCAGATTTGCCTAATGAAATACGTCATTTGATTTCTTGACTGCTGCTTTCATGAGTGTTGATGATTGGTTTGAGCAAAATGAAGTCTTTGGCAAATTCAATTTTCTCTCCATTTATCTTGATGTTAGTGGTGAGGATTTTTCTTTTGTTTTCACTGAGGTGCAACCCATACTGAAAGTTGTGACCTTTGATATTCATCAGTAAGTATTTAAAGTCCTCTTCACTTTTGGCAAGCAAGTTTGGATTATTTGCACATCACAGGTTGTTAGTGAATCTTCCTCTAATCATAATGCCACATACTTCTTCATATAGTCCAGCTTCTCGGATTATTGTCTCAGTATACAGATTGAATAAATGTGGAGATAGAATACAACCATGGTGGACACCTTTCCTGATTTTAAAGCATTCAGTGTCCCTTTGTTCTGTTTGAATGACTGCCTCTTGGTCTAGGTACAGTTTCCTCATGAGCACAATTAAATGTTTTGGAATATCTGTTCTTCACAATGTTATCCATACTTGATCCTGATCCACACGGTAAAAACCTTTGCATAGTCAATAAAGTACAGGTAAACATCTTCCTTGTATTCTCTGCTTTCAGTCAAGATCATCTGACGTTAGCAGTGATAGTCCTCATCTCACGCCCTTGTCTGAATCTGCCTAGAACCTCTGGCAGTTCCGTTAATGTAATGTTGCAGCCGTTTTTTTGAATTATCTTTAGCTAAATTTTACTTGTGTGTAATAGTAATGAAATTGTCTGATGATTTGTGCATTCCATTTGGAATGGGCACAGATAGGGATCTCTTCTAATCAGTTGACCAGGTAGATTTCTTGGCATAGATGAGTGAGTGCCTCTAGTGCTCCTTCAGTTTTGTGTTCTGTCAATTCCCGGGTCCTGGTTCTTTACCAATGCCTCTTTACACCTTGGACTTCTTCTTTCAACACCATTGGCTCTTGCTCATATGTTGTTGTTGTTCAGTACCGTGGAGTTGGTTCTGACTCATAGTGATCCTGCACAGGGTTTCCGAGGCTGTAAATCTTTACGGGAGCAGAACTACTCATCTTTCTCCTGCAGAACGGCTGGTAGTTTCGAACTGCCGATCTTGAGGTTAGCAGCCCGATTTGTAATCACTACGCTACCAGAGCTCCTTCTTGATCATATGCTACCTCTTAAAATGGTTGACCACGGACCATTTCTTTTTGGTACAGTGAAACTGTGTATTCCTTCCATCTTCTTTTGATGTTTTCTGCATTGTTGAATATTTTGCCCATATTGCGGGTGTTGTTAAATGCCATCAAGTCTGTTCCAACTCAGAGCAAACCTGTATAGGGTTTCCAAGGAGCGGCTGGTGAGTTTGAACCGCCAAACTTGTGGTCCAGTGCTTTAACCCATAGTGCCACACCCTGAATACTTCAAATAGAAGTTTGGCTGTTTTTCCTCAGTTCTTTCAGCTTGAGAAAAGCTGAACACGTTCTTCCCTTTTGGTTTTCTAACTCCAGGTCTTTGCACATTTCATTAGAATATTGACTTTGTCTTCTCGAGCTGCCCTTTGACATTTTCTGTTTAGCTCCTTTGCCTCCTCATTTCATCCATTTGCTTTAGCAATTCTATGCTGGAGAGCAAGTTTCAGAGTCTCATCTGACATTGATTTTGGTCTTTTCTGTCTTTCTTGTCTTCTTAATGACTTTTTGTTTTCTTTGTATCATGCTTTTGATGTTATCCAAAAGTTCTTCTGGTCTTTGGTCATTGGTTTCTAATATATCAGGTCTGCTCTGAGATGATCTCTGAATTCAGATGAGATATGCTCAAGTTCCTATTTTTAGCTTTGAGGGACTTTTTTCTCATTTTCTTCAGCTTCAGCCTGCATTTAACTATGAGCAGTTACCGTTCTACAGTCTGCCCCTGGCTTTTTTTTTTTGGCTGATGATAGGGAACTTTCCCTATCGTCTCTTTCCACAGATACAGTCGATTTGATTTCTTTGTATTTCATTTGGTGAGGTGTATAGTCGTCTTTCATGTTGCTTAAAAAGGCATTTGCAATGAAGAAGTCATCATGAAATCTCCAGTATCATTTCCGTCACCAACTGATCCTTCCTGTTTGTTTCCAATATTTGCATTCCAATCACTTAGCAATTATCAGTGCATGTTGATTGCATGTCTGATAAATTTCAGACTGAAGAAATTGGTAGAAGTCTTCAATTTCATCATCACTGGCTTTACTGGTTGGTATGTGAATTTTAATAATAGTGACAATAACTGGTCTTCCTTGTATGCCTATGAATATTATCCTATCACAGACAGCATTATAGTTCAAGATTTTTGTTGTTGTGTGCCGTCGAGTCAGTTCCAACTCATAGTGACCTTGTATTGGGTTTCCAAGGAGCTGTTGGTGAGCCTGAACCACTGACCTTGGGGTTCAAACGGACCTTGCAGTCCACTGCAGTAACCCACAGCGCCACACCAGGACTCCATATTTCGAAGTAGTCTTTGGAATGTTCTTTTTGATGGTGAATGTGATGCAATTCTGCTTTATTTTTTTTATTCCTGTCCTAGTAAGCCATATGAAATAGTTAATACCAGTCCATTTCAGCTCAGTAATTCCTAGGATATTGATTTTTAAGAATTCACTTTCATTTTTGATAGCTTCCAATTTCCCTAGGGTCATACTTCATAAATTTCATGTTCCAATTATTAATGGATGTTTACAGTTGTCTCTCCAGGATTTGAGTTGTTCCCCATCCATTATGAAGGTCCTGAAAGCTTTATTCCATTCACGTCATCATGGTCAACTCTGACTTTGAGAAGGCAAGCTGTTCACCAGCTGTATTTTGAATGCCTTCCTGCCTGAGGGGCTCATCTTCCAGAACATTTGACAATATTCTGGGGCTAGCTGACAGTGTTTCACTGCTATTCATAAGGTTCTCAGTGATTAAACAATCTTATGTAGTCCACTTCTCCTTCTTCTTAGTTTGTCTTAGTCTATAAACTCCTCTGAAACCTGTCACCATGGGTGACCCTGCTGGTATTTCAAACACCAGAGGCATAACTTTCAGCATCACAGCAACACACAAGCCACCACAGTACAACAAACTGACAGATAAGAGGTAGGGCTAGAACCTTAAGTAATTGTAATTAAAATTTTGTTTTAATTTTTGCAAACTCAAGAAATTCAGTATTATTCCTTGCTAGATCAATCAACACCAAATTAGATAATAAAAATAATAATGAAAAAGCACAGAAAAGATGGAAATAGAAAGATGGTGTATTGTATGTTCTTTCAGTTTATGAAAAGATTTATTAAATCAAAGGGAGAAATAAAATACTTCAGACCTTATCACTGGGCTAGTAATCTCACTTCCCAAGGATAAAATATGGACTAATTAGCTGAATCATGAATTCTTTAAAAAAAATATGTAAAAAATATCTGAAGTAGAATGAAGGAATTACTTCATGGTTTTAGCTAGTTGTGCTGATATGAAATGGCGTTCAATTTATATCCATTTTAGCAGATGCAATAAATGTTTTATTAATTATAAACAAAAAAAAAGTATCACAGATGGAAAGAAAACCACAAATTGCTAGACTCAATGACTTCGTTTTCTTTTTAGAATTTGTCTTAGAATAAAAAAGGAATGCATGACCCCCCTTAACGTGGAGAGGAGGGCTCGACTTTTATTACCTCTTTCAAATAATTTATTGTCAGCTTTTCTTGGTTCATTGTTTTAGTAGGAAAATAATTTCTTGTTACTATTAGATGTGACAGTTTTGATAAAATACTACATATATAACTGTACACACTTAAAATTGCTTTAAATACTCAAAGTAGAAAACTGTGTTTTTCAGAATCAGTGGCATTCAAAAGGCATACAGAAAAAACAGTGAAACTGTGGAGGCTTTGAGAAGTGAGTAGCTTTTCTAATATTCAGTCTATAATATCAAAGTACAAATGAAAATGCAATGGGAAATTTAAAATATCTGCCACAGTCTTCTTTCTTTTAGGAATGTTTTTATTCATTTATGTGATTTACATTCAGAGTAAAAAATAACAGTTATACAACATCAAAGTATAGTAAAAATAAAAAAAACCTAAATGAAAATTATTCAACTATTTGAACCAGTCTGTGTTCTCTTTCATTGAATTATTATGCTTGTGTATACATGTTACTTACTCTTTTGGAATGTATGTGTCTAACCCTATACATGGTTTTTCAGCCTTGGCACTATTGACATTTTTGGGGCAAGAGAATTTTTCCTTGTGGAGAACACCCCTGAGAATCGTAGGATGTTCAACAGTATCCCTGATCTCTACCCTTTTGCTCTCAGTAGCACCTTTCTATCCAATCCTGACAACTAGAAATGTTTTGAAGTTGTCCTCCAGTGTTTTCTTTCTCTAAGAGTCATGTAACTTCGGTTCTCACATTTAGGTCTTTGATCCATTTTGAGTCAGTGTTCGTATATGGTGTGAGGTATGGTTCCAGTTTCGTTCTTTTGCATGTGAAAACCCAGTTGTCCCTGCGCCACATGGAAGAATGACTGCTTTTTACTGGAGCAAAGATGTGATGGACACACCACATTCAGAGGGACTCAGCTTGTGTGTGTGTGTGTGTGTGTGTGTGTGTGTGTGTGTTGTGGGGCTGGAGAAGTAGCTGTTTAAAACTACCGCACGTACCAAGAAAGGAAAGACAAGAGCTTCCCAGAGAGGAGTACTGCTCCTTATAAATATGGTACTTATGCCGTTCTTGTGCAGAACTCTTGGACGTTTTTCTTCCTAATTTACCATGTGCCTTTTGTAACCTATATACAAAACCTATATACAGGTAGTCCCAGATTTATGACATGTTCACCTTGGGACGAACTGCACTTTACAACTGTCGAGGTTTTTTTTGGGGGGGTACCTCATATTCAGTAGCACTATTTACTGTATTTACAGTGTTGCAAGTACATAATCTGGTAATGTATCAATCTCAGATGTTTACTGACATATGCTGAATGTTTTGATTTATTAAGATACAGATAATTAAAAGCAGTGATCTTGAAAACTGAAAACAAAACAACAAAAAATGAAACAAAACCCAGAGGTATTCAGTGTCCATCTTCAGTGTCCATCAGAAACGACTTGTGGCAATGTTGTCGAAATGGAACTCGGTCATAAGTTGGGGACCACCTGTATTAGGATGCTCCATTGACTTAATACTTTTCCTTTTTTACAAAACATTTACTTTGCCATTGCTGGACTATTGGCTAATTTCTAGGGTTTTGTATAAATCAATATACTTAACATCCCAGTAAATTACTGTGAAAATAAATTTTTGCTTGTCTATTTAAGTGTTTTAATACACTTTGGAATTCTGAAAAGTGAGGACAGGCAAAGCCCCATATATGTTATCTCCGAAATCATAGCAAAGTCTACTTTTGCGGACTTTCATGTCTGCTTATACTTTTAACTATATCAAAGGTTGATTTTTTTTTTTTTTTACTGCTGTAAAACATGATAGAAAAATTTAAATCTGTCTTTAAATTTATTTGACATACTTCACGATTTCTCCACAAATTTATGAATTCTTTTATATCTGATTCTTATTCTTCTTTCCCTGAACTAGACTTGTCATTTGATATATATGAAGGTCAGATTACTGCATTACTTGGCCACAGTGGAACAGGAAAGAGTACACTGATGAATATTCTTTGTGGACTTTGCCCGCCCTCTGATGGTGAGTTTTCTGATTTAAAAACAAAATCTCTTTTACGTGATTTTTAGCAATCATATGAGACTAATTTATATTTTCTCTTTTTCTTGACTATACATAGTTAGTTGATTTTCAATAAAAATTAAAATGATTTCATTATGTTTAATTAAGTAAAAGGATCTAATTCTGTACATATTTTTATCATATGTTTTATAAATTTATATGTGTTCATATTCAAGAAAAGATAAAATCGATAGCTATTTGAAAAGAAAAGAAGTCTATAGATTAAGTTGAAAAAATAGTACAAGTTTAAAAACGTGTAACAATGTGTCAAAAGGGAAAATAATGATATATGTGAATATCATATCCTAACACAGAATTTTAAGAGCGCGTCCTCAAAAGTATACTTTTGCTATTTTTCTTTTCTGTGAGAACTCAGTGTGTCAGCTACACAGTTCCCTGCTAAGCCAAGAGAGTGGTAAAGCAGCATATATATATATATTTTACTGCAAAAATGGATTTACTTTCCATGTATTGAATCCGCATCTCAATCTTTTACATCCAGATTAACTTTGAAAGTTAGTTTGATTCTGTTTTTTATTTTTAACTGTGTCACTATTGTATCTAATAATAAATATTCACATTAACATAATAATTATGACGTTCATTTGATTTTCCATACATGATCACATTTGACTGAGCAGTTTTTAAGAGGTCTATATAGCATAGTGCCCTTTCTGCTCATATCCAACTGCATGTACATCCAGGGGTCCCTAAGGTGAAAATCCCAGTTGGAGAATGGGATGACACAACTGTAACAGCTTCTCCCACAGGCAACTCACGTTTCTTGTATCCAAAGTGCTTGTGTTGCTAGATGGATCACGGTATAGTACACGTGGGTGTTAGGTGTCATTGCGTTGGTTCCGAGTCACAATGGCCTTACGCCAAACAGAAGAAAACAGTGCCTGATCCTGCTCCATCCTCACAGTTGTTACGCTTGAGCCCATTGCTGCTGACACTCTGTCAGTCCATCTCGTTGGTAATCTTCCTCTTGGTAGTTGACCCTCCACTTTACCAGGCGTGATGTCCTTCTCCAGGGACTGGTCTCTGTCTCCTGAGAACATGTCTAAAGTATGAGAGATAAGCGTTGCCATCCTGTCTTCTAACGAACATTCTAGCTGTACTTCTTCCAGGACGGATCTGTTTGTTCTTCCTGCAGTCCACGGTGCTTTTAATATTCTTCCCCAGTTCCATGATTCAAATCCATTGATTCGTCTGCAGTCTGCTTTGCTCTCTGTCCAACTTTTCACATGCATCTGAGGCTATTGAAAGTACCATGACTTAGGTCAGATGTACCTCATTCCTCAAACTGACACCTTTGCCCTTTAATACTTGAAAGAAGTCCTATGCAGCAGATTTGCCTAATGCAATAATATGTCAGTTGATTTCTTGATTGCTGTTTCTGTGAGTGTTGATTGGGGATCCAAGAAAAATGAAACCTTTGTCAATTTTAATCCATTTATCATGATGTTGGAGTCGTGGTGTGACGGTGTAGGATAAGCATTTGACCTCAAGACCAGTTTGAACTGCAAGATTGGCGGTTCAAGCTCACCAGCCGCTCCTCAGAAACCCTATACAGGGTCGCTATGAGTCAAAATCGACTCAAAGGCACTTGACAACAATCATGATATTATTTATTGGTCCAGTGGTGAGGATTTTTGTTTTCTTTACATTGAGGTGCAGTCCATACTGGAAGCTGTGGTCTTTGATTTTCATCAGTAAATAGATTAAGTTCTCTTTTCTTTCAGCAAGCAAGATTAAATCATCTGCATATCTCCAGTTGTTATATGAGTCTTCCTCCAATCCTGATGCCACGTTTTTCATAAAATCCAGTCTCTCGGATGATTTGCTCAGCGTGCAGATTGAATAAGTGGTGAAATAATACAATCCTGGTGAACACCTGATTTTAAACCATTCAGTATCCCCTAACGCCTGCCTCTGGGTCCATGTCCAGGTTCCACATGAGCACAATGAAGTGTTCTGGAATGCCTGTTCTTCACAGTTACCCATAGTTTCTCATGGCTCATACAGTCAAAAAATTTGGCATAGTCAATGAGGCGCAAGTAAACATTTTTTTTTTTTTTTGTATTTTCTGCTTTTAGCCAATATCCATCTGATGTCAGC